CATAGGCAACCAATTTGACAAAATGTCTCCAACTTAGGCAGATGCTGTTGAAAGTTTGATCAGAATAAAAACAAAGTATCTCTATTAAGCGCAGCTCAAATTATTATACACACTACAGAATGTGCCTGTTACTCTTTCTTTTCAGTGCTCCATGGAGGCCTGTCATTGTGCATATACACGCCTGTTGATCGCAACCAATCTTTGCTTGTGAAGAACCTCTTGAAGTGTTGCAGGATATTTTTATGCGCACCATTTAAGAGATCAAAGATGTCACCACAGGGACTTCCCTTCAAAACCTGATCGGGTTCTAGTGGGTTACGGCACTATTGCCCGCTTTTTCTAGCCATTTTGTATGTGTCCATGTGGACTTGCACATGAACGTTTTTTGTTTAAAGAACTAGGTAAACCGTGTACTTTCCGAAGTGGGCTGACTACTTTTAAGCCCATCAACATTTAACCTTACGGTAAAACATCATAGATCCGTGATCTAATCGTTTTCTGGAATTTAAGAAACACAAACACACTACTAGTGGTAATTTGTAAAACCTTTACCTTCTATCAAAGTTTATCACTAAGTAGGATGATGATAAACAAATTTGGAGAACAGGAACTCAAGGGGAATGAAACCCGTGGTGGGCTGTCGAAGAATCTCCGACAAACTTATAGGCAGATTGGTCCGTCAAAGAAACGTACTGCGGTGTGTCGAATATTGAGCCAGTTGGAACATGAGACTACCTTTGAAGACTCGTAGAACATCCTAATCAAGAGGTAAACTATGTATTCAACTAAGCAGCCCGTTTACATCAAAATAGTCTGGCGAACTGCGTCCAGTTTGTCGACATGGCAGGAACTGCGATCAATTTGTGTCCCCGGAATGGAATATCATTGGCGGATTCGTTGGCTTCTTTATGGTGTTCATGATGATTTCATAGCATGAGTTTCTTTCTAGAGAACTAGCAAACATGGTTTCCTTTTGAATATTTTCGAAAATAACGTATCTAATAAAAAAGTGAATTCATGGGAATTATTTCCCACATCTCGTAATACAATCTGATGCTTTTTGCCGTCCACATGTTTGAGTGAATAAGCTTTACTAAGTGGACTTCGAAATTAGTCGCTTGGTTGTCATCTTGCAGTCTGACCAACTGGGACTGATTTCGTAGAAACCAGAACATGGGGAAGTACAGTGGCCACAATTGTTGTAATCTCTAAGTTCTTCTTGACTACTTCTGTACTCAAAAGCCTCGCTGGTCCACAGAACGTGCTAGGCGTCCGCCTCAAAATCCAGTGTTCTTCAAGTCTTTTTTGTTCTACTAATAGTTTATCGTCTTCTTTTTACTTACTGTTTTTATTACACAAACCATTGACCAGCATAAGTGCACCGATACACAAGAAAAATGAATGGGTAAGAACAGTCTAAGTCTGAATGACCGAAGAATTACCTTCTACCTATTTAGCTGTTGCAAAGGTCTTCGAAATTTTAACCGTTTTGATCTATATCTCGATATTGAACCACCTTTAAGGAGAGCCTGGGTAAAAGACAGGGTAAAAGACAAATCGTTTTCATCCATTGTCAAGGCAACCAACTCGATTATGACTGAAAGTCACGCAACCAGGAAATAATGGTAAACGTCAGCAGTGAGGAATCAGAAGGTCATATCATGCGAATCGTTAACTGCCTCTTGTACTTACGAAGAATGTCTGTTTGCATGAGCATGCCAAAGGCAAGCATTTTGTCACTGGATGCCGCAAAGAAATTATCTATGAAACTGGTATGTTGTAAATAGTTAGATAAATTTCCCCCAGCAACACACTTTTCTGACAAACACACAAGAGCCGCCACTGTTAATTTCACTGGAGACGGGTATGATTCATCGAGAACACATGATCAAACTAGTCCGCACCTACAGATAGCCATTTTAACTAAATTGTGTGAAACAGCTCAACACAGTTAGGTTAATTACTTTGCCTGTAAAATGTTCACCAAATGTACCAAGTTTATGGACTTAACAGACGAAATCGACACTACTCCATACTTTAGAAGTAATAGGCTTAGTGCCGTGTAGCGCTTAAGGGTGCCAGAATTACTGAGAGTTATTTTTCAGAAGTAGGTCCATAAATCTCGTAGTTAACCTTCGCATAATCCAGCTTGAATGGTGACTTGTTATTTTCAAGCTAGAAATTACTGTTTGCACGACAGTGCAACACATTTAAACCTCTATCAGTCGTTTACCATTTCACTAGAGAGAAGGCAAAAAATGGTTAACTTCAAACTCATCCAAAACTATGTGTAGTAGAATGTGTTAAATTTCAGTGGAGCAGTCCTATTCGGGTGACCGACAAGATATAGGTTAAGTTCAGCTGATTATGAACATATTTTTCCGGACACAAGTTTGACTGTGATTGCTGCCATTTCATCTGACCACGCAGTTAGCGAAAACAGTCCAATGAGGATTTCACTCGGTATTTAAATACCTTCTCTCTGTGTATGTGTTCACAGGAACTGTGCGCTCTGGGCATAGAAATGTTAATTTATTACCAAAGACCATCCATTTAGCCTATATCACCGGCTGATAGCCTACTTATAGAAAATGTACAGAGACAAGTCTGTTGGTGGTTGATCAGATGTCCGTTGATCTGTTCGGGGAGCTTGGCAATTGACGTGCAAACATTTCGTCCACAGTCGAGGAGACACCGTCAGTGTGCACCGTCAACTGACGATGTCTGCTTGACTGTGAACGAAATCTTTGCAACCCGATTGACAAGCTTCGTGGACAGATCAACGGCCATCCGATCAACCACCAATTAACATCCCCAACTACCAATATTTCGACATATTGACAAGTTAGTGTGTGATGGTATTGTGGAGCACGGAGATTTGATAGCCCAAATTTAGTTACCAAGCAATAATTTAATAGATTTTTGGTTTGCCTGCAGCACGAGACAGAGGGGGGAAGCCGAGCGTTTGTTTGTCCTAATTGGACGCTTGTTCAACGGAAACAGACAAAACAATTTGAGGTGTAGACCAGGTTTTATTCGCCATTGACCCTTGAACTGTTTATATAAACTGCACAAATGGGCTCGGTTGTAGAAAAAGTCGTTTCTAGTGTACGAAGAAGCTTTCTGCCTACCATAGACAAATCGATGAAGTATTCCACGCGAAAACCGAAAGCATTGGCAGAATGGGCTGCGTAACCGATAATGACATAATCAGGTGACGACTATAGGCTCATGTGTTTCCCAGCTTTTCCCATAATCGATGTCAGAACCTAAAGCTGTTGCTACGACACGCTTTTGTGGAACGTCATGCCATAATTCACAGACTTTTCTGCTGTAGGTTACACCATATGGGTTTAACTTTAGGCTAACCTTTAATAGGTTTATTAGAATTCTTTCATCGTTCAAGTATACCCTTTTGCCCAAAACTGCTTACGCACCCCTGGGAAGGTGCAAAAGTGTGGGAAATTGGTTTATAAGTGAGCTACACAATCCAACATCTAAATAAGTTGCATGAACTAATGAAGATCGTCAAAGTCCCGCAAATCACTTCAGAATCACGTGCAGGTTAATCGCTAAGATGTAGGAGCTTGGAAAAGAAGTCAGTATGACTCAAAAGCATCACAGGAAACGTTCTTCCTCCTTAAGATTTCATAAGGTGTGCTGGATTTTAAATCCTTCATGTCGAGCTTTAGAACTACTATGACTAGGTTAACTGCACTCCACTACACCCAAAACTTTTAAGTTAGGAAGTGTTTTTATAAAGAGAATTTATTACGGATTTGTTCTTCCATTGCCAGACAACTCATGTATCAGGAAGTGGCAGATGTTGCAGGTTGTACGATGTGCACATTAGAAAGGAAAGAAAGAAAGCGTTCAGCTGTAGCACCCTTCCGGTGCCTAGCTGCCATGCCACCCGAAGGAAGCACGAGGGCTGGGATACTGCCAGATTGTCCAAGCCAAGACAAGGGAAGTTGAGTGGCGGAGGTCGGATTCGAACCAGAACCTTTCGGTCAGTAAATTCGCGCTCTAACCACTTGGGCCATCTCGTACGTTAGGCAACCAGGCACTCTGGAAGACACAGCGTGTAATAGCTACTATCACAATAAGTGCAGGATGTCCTTCCCGTTTTGTTTCCACTCTTAAATGCCTTGCAGTTTCATATGAACTTTTCGTAGAAGACTTCATTTACAGGCGACGAAACCACTGATATAGTAAACTCTTCCTCTTGCTCTCTTCTGTTATTCTTGATGGTTAGCATGCTGAATTTCGTTCCACAACTGTCAAATGGATATGTAGCTCACTAAAATTTTTGCAACTGCTTGGCTTATAGTTTGCGCTGCCCGGAATCTATCCAGTAATAGAACTAATTTAGAAGTGACGAGTACCCTTCGAAAGAATTGCTTAGTTTGCTAGTAACCAGCAAATAGACCTCAAAAATTGCTCCGCACACGTTTTCTCACTATCTGCGTACTAATGTTACTGTGGATATAGCTTGACGCGCTGGTCAACACCAAGCGATCGTCTCAGATTGTTGGTTTTTTGTTGCCAGTTAACTGCCAAAAACTTTCTCTGGTGCCTTCTGGTACAACAACCCCCTTAAAACAGCTCTCTCCACATATAGGATATATTCTCATCAAATGTGGCTTAGTGTGTCACCCCTTAGGACAGGTCACTCAAAGAGTCGGTTTAGTGTGTCTAGTGGCAAATTGTTCCTGCCGGCACTCCCTAAAATTACCAAAACAAACAGTTACGTGTTTTATTAACAATTGTCCCAGTAAGTTCAACTGGGTGACCGCTCAAAGAGGAGTGGATATGTGTACCTAGCAGTTAGATAATCATCCCCCGTGCTTGAGCATGTGCTCGTCAGCATTGGACGACATTTTGGGTATCGTTCATTCGTAAAGGCCACCCTTGTTTATAAAACATTTCAATATGAGGAGAACAGAATAATCAACTGCTACAGCTTGACAATTTTCAATGAGACTAGAGGCAGTGACTTACCGAATGGAAAAGTCAGTATTGGCAAGCTTACAAGTCAAACTCTTGGGTCAGTAAAACGTTGATTTTCTAGCCAAACAAGTTGAGAGAATCTATAGCTTTTATAATTTCTAGGTGAACTCATCATTATGAATGTGACAAGCGTTTGCATTGTGCATAACGTGACTCATATCAGTCAACAGAATTCCAGCATTTTGCTGTGAACTGTCATATGGCTTATAATCATTTCTGAGTTCTAACCTAACCTCGATTTGAATGAAGATGTGGAATCGAACGAGTTCAAAACGGTGTAGTGCTATGGTAGCTGTGTAAGACTATTTATCTTTCTAAAATACCAGTAATTAGAATTCTGCTGACCAAGAAACTTATCTGCTCGTATTCCAGTCAATACAGCTTTTACTTATAGAAAACTATGGAGATGCTTATCAAACAATGGGAAAAGTTTTCCAGTCTTTTTCAATAGGCCAAAACATTTTCCCCGTGACTGCAACAGGCTATTCAGCAAATCCCACGCGAGGAATCGAACGCTTATATTTTAAAAAAATTCCCAGTTCCACATGTGGTGAACATGAACCACAAAACATTCTGAATTTTAATTACAGTTAGTACCTATGGTATTATTGCAGCTAAAGGTAGAGACCAATGACTAAACACAGTGAAATCTGTGGACACAGGACCGTTAACTATGCCGAATTTAGTGCCTAAGCCAATGTGTAATATGTAGCATACTGAAGAGCTTGCGATCGCTCTCTCGCTTTGAATGTGACAGTGAATATAGTGATAGAAATTCTGGCTCTAACACAGTTCTGTTTGTGTAACCTACGGAACTTATTGCCAATGGGACTACTGCATAGTTGCCAAATGACAGACTATGAACACCGAAAATACATCAAAAACGACCAATCTATTTGAGTGTTTGATTTGCTTATACGTGTTAGCTTCTAAATGCATTTATTCTAATGATTTTACCATCCGCAATACTCCCATTTTCTATTTTAGACGTAATGAATCACAAGTTTCTTATGAAGCGTCGCATCCGCTCGATTATTCGGCGACTTGGCTTGACCGAGTTGACCAAGAATGCGCGCCTGTCAGCTGAGTCACGCGAGCTGTGTAACCGACAAACAAGAATAATGGCTAACAACGCTTCTGCCCAGAACGTTTCTCGTTTTATCGGGCCGGCTTCGATCGATAAAGCTGTAACCTGCGTGACGGCACTGTGCATCTGTGTCTACAACTGTATGTGTTAGCGAAACAGATGTGCAGCAAAACATTTCTCCAGGAGCTACATGAGTGAAACTTGAACAGATTCTGTTTTGTTAAAGGGTCGTTTTGTGAAAAAAAAAACAAGACAGCCGGTATTTGGAAAACTCCAAAATGTGTGGAATAAAAAATCATATCAACCCATCGACTTCCAAGTTAAAGGGTCTTTTGTGAAAAAAAAACAAGACAGCCGGTATTTGGAAAACTCCAAAATGTGTGGAATAAAAAATCATATCAACCCATTGATTTCCAAGTTAAGTAAAACCAAACACAATAATAACTGAACGGCAATCGATAGATACAGACTTCACTTACCCCGAAATAAGAAATTCTGGTGTTCGATTGGATCAATCGGCTGAATTTGTCTTTCTATTTCCTCCCATTTTGTCTGTAGTTGTGACATCAGTGATGTTAGTGTGGTTGCTAGGGCCGACTGCATTATGTCGGTTTTGGGGGCATGTCCAAGCTGGCTGGACGAATCACTGTGAGCAGTCTCAAGATTTGCAGGGTTGTCTCTGATCGTATTCTTGAGAACATTGTTCACTAATTGAAAAAGTGCGCTCTTCTTGCTCTCCTGCTGTTGAAAGGTCAGTAGTGTGGGCTGCGTTGGCGAAAATAGCAAGTTATGGGGGAGAATTATTCGCGGTAATTGTTTAAAATCAAAAAATATACCGACAAAAGCTCTTCTGAAGGTAGGAAGCCAATTTGGCATTCTTAAGTCTATGGAAAGTGACACCGACTTTAGCAAGGACAAGTTGGCTGTAGCTTCTTATTTTTTGTCAAAAGCATACCCGACTCATCGCCCTTTGCTGCATTTTTGTGTTGAAACATTCAAATTGCAATGTGCGTGATTGAGTACTAGTATTCTCCAGGAGGAATGAGAACGAAAAGCCTCTGAATATGATATGTAAACCTGAAAGGTTCTGACCAAACAGTGCACGGGAGAGCTTTGATAAAGCAATGCCTCATTGACACCCATTGTACTTCAAAATTGCTGTATACTTGAAAACTCAATGCTGTCTTTCGAATCAAATGCCTTTGAAAAATGGACGGCACGTGCGCCGTGCATTCCGCAAAGCTGAAGCGAGAACTACACACCTCAATCAGAGGACATCAACTTCCAGGCAAGTGAAATTTTGTCACTACCAAGTGAACCAATGTCTCACCTTCAGGGAAACCCCTTTTGAAGTGACAGAGGACAGAGGACACAAGACCGTCGGATATCCACGGTCAACAAGCAACATTATTTGTATACACTCTAAAGTATTTATTTGTTTGCAAAAAACATCCTAAATCATCAAAGTATCTTTGCACTGTTGAAGGGAAAAAATACTAGTCAACAAATTAAGTTGTTCCCGGCAGAATGAAACAAAGGGTTCTAACATTTCTGGCCAATACTCATTTATCACTGACTAGAAGAAAACGGTAGGAGCTTTCTGACTTTTTGTGTCGACAGAGCAAGGTTCACGAAATTTAGCAAAAGGATGAAACCACTTGCGGCTAATTAGCTATGTGGCTCTATATAAATGTGTTGGATTTTCTCCGCTACTTTCCAATTCATAGAATAATCTCCGGTTGAAATCTGTCCTTTGAAGCACTATATAAGACCAATCCTTAAAAGTACATTATGCTACGTTATGCACAAGAGAAATTATAGCATCGCTTGAAGGGGACTGAAAACAATCCTTAAGGGCTCTGGGTAAAATCTGAATAAACTATATCCAGAAAACAAGTAAGATTCGCAAAGACGTTAATTCTGTGATGTGCTGGTTCAAAGTGCCATGCATGTCACTCCGACTGCCTAGAAGACGATTAGTATTCACAGATTAATGTCAGCGCTGACCTTGTTTGAAGAAATTGGGTGAAAACTTTCGCATTGCCGAGAATGGCATTAAATCAATTATGGATGTTTATACAAAACACTGAACCATATCGTCTTATTTGGGGGGGGGGTGAATGAAAGTTTTCAGTTTTCTCAGGGTCAGGAATCGGTCTTGCTATGCCTAGTGTGTTATATTAACTGTCATTCTAAGGAGGACAGTTTTTGTCGGTCAACAGACAGTCTCACATATGCCTTGGATCGGTATTTTCTTATTCATTGCAAACTCCATATTTCACACTTCACACTCCATATTTTTAACGACAGGATCACGTTTTTAACAGCATACGCTGGCCAGCCCACTAATCCCAGCCTAGATTACTAAAAGTCATGCCCGAACTACTGAATCATATTAAGAAACTAGGAGAAGCACCAGCATGTTTGTTGAAGTATAAACAGTCTTGATGAATATACCGATTTTGACTTGCCCAGATTTCGTTTGCGTTCAATCAGCCTACAGGACGGGTAAAGTACCTAAGTAATTGCATCTTCGGTTACGCTTGGCATAGGCTTGCCGAAGTAACAAAGTTGTGCAATCCTGTGACCCCAGAAGCCAGTCGGGAAGTGGCTTCGGTTCGCTCTCTAAGACTCCTGTTTTATCATCCATAAACATTGAATTTATATTAGTGTACAAACAACTTTCCAGAACGTTCTTTATTATGTGCTCAAATTCGCCCAATTGTGACGGGTTTGTATCCTGATTGGTACGTTGGTAGCTTGTGCCAGATGGTTATTTATTGTCTGTGGAGCCTCAGTTGTTGATCTGTATAGCTGACTAAAACAAATGACGTTCAATATCTGGGCGACCTTGGTTTGCCTTACTCATCAGTTGTAAACTGCGAAATACTGAGGTGGCTCGACCGGATTCGGACAGCTATTGCCTGATTGTGTCGCCTTGCATCACCCTCAACCCTACAGTCACTTCTTACTTGATTATACAGTACAAGCGCTGTTTAATTACCTTCTTCTACATTATGACAGAAAGTGTTAACTTCCACTTGCTACTCGCTCCGGAGAAAATCGTTGCGTTAGGTTACATCTGGCTAAGCATTTTTCGAAGTTCTGTATATCGAAATCAATGTATACAAAGAACGAAAAATGGATCGTATGCAGTCATGCACTCATCAACACGTTGTTTTTAGGTGATGATATGCATTCCGTTTATCACAGTGTCCGGCTCTTTGGGGCTATAAATAATGTCGTATGATTCCGTTCAACCGTTCAGCACGTGGTTGCCTTGTTTGCCTTTTGACTTCGCCCACTCAGTCTCTGGGTAACCATCATTATTGACTACCCAACATGCTCATCTATGCTTCAGAGGCAAAGGTTTGTCCATTGTATGTAAAGTTCTACGAAAACTAATTGTGAATTATGAGTCTGTAAGTGAGCTCTAGTAAGTTGAATGCAGTAGGCATACATCCACAATTCAGGTTAAACTTACATAATCCTTATTTGAAATTGTTTTAAAATCATAAAACGGCATCATATAGACCGATCCACAAAGAACGTCCAGTTTTCTTCTCCCTGTATTAATTCCTATCCCAAATATTCGCTACGTGACTTTAAAAACGAATGGATTTTTTCAACTTTGTGGATATAACTCCCCCAAGGGGCTAGATTCTGTAACCAGAACACAAAATTAGTACTAAGAGTGTGAACAAATTTAAATTATTGTACCATTTAAAAGGCAACCTGGTCCATAAGGCAAGCACGTCCACTTGTGTTAACTTGTTGTAATTGGGGGTAAAACGATTTCCAAATTTTTCTGCACGGTTTTCTATACACCCCAATTTGTAGTTACATGCCATTAGTGTCTTTACTTCCTTGTGTTTTGGCCTAACCAGTTGCCCATATATGGACAGCTTACGGATTCTGAAAGTAGGTTTTGTTCCTCGATGGAATGAACGGTTTTAAAACTTCAGAAATCGTCGCGAATCTTTGAACATATTTACACGTATCGGTAAAGTTAACAAGTAACAACTTCTGGATGAATTATGTTTAAGGTTCATCAAATACGCCTGCTATTTTCATGACATACTTCACCCGTACCTGAAAGCGAGCTGCCAGATTCATAGTGCGTTTCTAATGAACAAAAGTTGAGTGATTAGATCAATCCTACTTGAAGTTGGATATTATTGTAAGATTCAAGAATTTCAATCGGTATTTCACCATTTCAGTGAAGAACGTGTATTCTTAGAAGCATAAAAGCACTCAAAACGGACCTCCGGGTAAATTTCCTCTCTAGTAGTTGAAGACTATAGAGTTCAACGACGGATGGCTGGTGGACTGCCTTGTGTAGCACACCGCTAGTAAATTCAAACAAGAAGAAAGTTGCTGTGTAGTGTTCCCTGGCTTCCAGGTTAGGGTGACTTTACTTCCAGGGTAAATTGGAATTTCCAAATTTCTTTAGGCTGCTGTCAAACTGTAGACAAACTGTTCTGGAAGAAAAGCCTATGAAAACATCGTGAGTCTTCATTTCAGTTCAGGATTAAACCGTGTACTAGAGACACATTGATTCCAGCTGCATGAGTCTTCAGACTGAGAAGTCACCACTTTTAGACCCAGTCAGTTCATGATCGTGTGGTGTCAATTGCATGATTATGTGGTGCGTGGCACTGTATAATTTATGGGGGCAAGCTAATCACGCTGTTGACCAGACCCTCGTGGTCGACCTGTGTGGTCTCCAACAACTAGCCGGAAGACCACATTTCAAATGCCCCTAGCGACCCATGGGATGGATGATACGGATGTTCAGAGCTTCTTTAATTTTAGCCTGACTTCACTGCTAGCTCGGCAGCACCCACAGATATAAGAATCAAGTGACGGTAGCTGTATTGGGAAAGTAAAGACGATACGAAGCATTACAGTTTCTAGTTAAATACGTCCATGACATTTTCTTTTCTATTGAGTGAGTCTGACATGAACAGTTAATTGCCAGGTCAAGGAACATTGGTGGCAAATGAAGGTGTGACACCATTAAAAGACTAGGACTGATGCCAGCTATTTGTGGCGCATCTTTTCTGCGCTGTGCTTCGTGGAGATATTCTCCATCCATTTGGATACTTTTTCCGTTTGATTCCTCCAAAATCTGATTGTTCATTGCATTCTCTGGTTAAAAGTCCACTTGAATTGATTCACATTTTTTCAATTGTATGAGGACACCACGACATAACACTAGTCGGTAGATTAGCTTATTTTGACTAGCAATCGTGACAGAACTATTGATTGGCTAATTAAGTTACATAGCTAACCAGTTACATTATGGAGTACAACGTGAGCGGGTTGTATGAGACCGCATAAACTAATAAACAAGTGACTACTGAAATGTCACGTGACAGATATTGAGTGGCAGACAAGTTGTGTACAAACCATGACAGGGTAATATTTAGACGACAGTCTGTTTGAATCCAGTTTAATTGAAGACGCGAAGGTTTGAACTACGAAAAGATCATTCACTGAAAAGACGAGGAGTTTACGGGAAGAAAACTTTTCCGTAGAACATAGATTCTGACAAGAATTTGAAAACAAACCCCGGCTAACTAAATTCCTGTAGACTTTCGGCTGTTAATACTCAGGCGCACGTTGCTTCACCTCCGGAAGTTTTAGAGTTCGTAACAGCTGAGAAGCCAGAACTAACCCAGTACGAACTGGAAGGATTCACTTAGTATACAAACTACAAGTCGAGTGCAATTTTGGGACAAACGTTTTTAGGTTAGAAGTAACCATAATATTGCTTTGAACGCATGTTCATATATATAAGAAGAGTGTGAAACTTAAACTACCCAAATCACTACCAGTTTGCAAGTATCACATCCTCTACCAAAAACACTGAATCCTCTACATCCTGTACTAACATTGGATGCCAGACAATTCTGTCAGAGTGACTGTGGAATAAACAGGCCTGTGCTAATACTTTGGGTGCATATGGGACTAAAGTTAACCGTTAGAGATAGATTGTATATAACTGCAGAACTCCTGCAACAGAGAACATTGAGTTAATTGCTTAGAACCGCGTGCTTGTTTCATTTCTGAAATCCAAACCAAAAACTTGACTATTAACTCTTCACCAATGAATGATTTCTGTTCCGATACATAACTTCATGAGTTCCATAAATACTATAATAAAATGGCCAAAAGATGCTAACAAAGCTGGGATAATTTGAGGGGCTGAAATGCTCCTAGTTGTAGGTCTGTAATAAAAATGCTGGTGGTAGACAGCGAATACGCTGAACGAAACCTCTCGAGGCTTTAACCACCAAAGTTAGTTGTTATTAGGAAAGTTGCGCCGCATAACATGAGGTTTTTTCTTTGATCGTAGGTTATAAAACGTATGGCAAAAAATGATGGACTTTTTGGGTCTTGATTCAAGGTGCAAAAATGATATTTGTAGTCAATATTAGAACTACAAACAACAGTTTTCGGACCAGACCATTCTATGTTGAGGTATGTTAAACGAAGCTCTGTAAAAGCAGCAATAAAAAGGCAGCACTCAAGAACGCAATGACTAGGAACAATCCGATTGATAAAATGCTTATTTCTCTGGAGAGAAATAATGGACGAATTGTCAGTATAGTAAGGATCTGCTATTTTACATCCCTCAGTTTATGAAACTCATTTTGATGAAGAAAGTGAGCTTAACAGAGTAACATCAAGCTATGTTACACCAACAATCAAAACTCAGCAGTTCCCTCCACTTATATTTCTCGGACTAGCTTGCTCAGAAAATCTAATGGATGTCATTAGAACTTTCAGAATTTCGTAGACATATTAGGTTGTCCCTGGTCTACAGGCGAAATACTGATGTTGAGACCCTGTCTGATTTTTCAGGTCTCGCTATCAAGCATCCTCAACAAGTACATTTGTAATTCAGTGCAATAAGTTTCTAAAATACAAATGCAAAAAGGTAGCGTCACAGTGAGCTCCTAATCTACGGTGATCTTCTATGAAGCTAGTTATGACGCGGAAACATTTACCCTCTCAAACATGAGTATTCTTATTTTATCTACAACGCAATGTGATGGCCTCTCTGTTTAACTAGTTATCCTCATTCACCGGCTAGTGGTCGCATAACGGAACTTATCTTCATAGATCTGGTCAGACTGATTTGCTGTGCGGTTGAGACGATTTATTCGCTTTTCAAGAATTCACTTGGCAACTTTAATACGGTGATCAGATGGTGTCATCGAAAGAAGTCCGTTTTGTAGCAAATACATAACAAGAAAGTTTCAGAAAGACAACAAAATCACTTACATTTTTCACTAGGTTTTTTCTTTATTTTCTAGTTTGTTTTCAATGTCTCTGAAATATTAACTCGTCCCCTCTCAAAAACATCGCAAAAGAAACCTCCACTTTGCACTGTGCTAACCTTTTACACTACCACAATTGGCAAAAGATAATCGATAGCCTTTCAGTTTTAATACCTTCCGGTGCTTATCTGTCACGCCGCACAAAGAAAGCACAATGGCTGAGATACTGCCAGGTTGCTCAAGCCTAGACAGGGGAAGTCGAGAGGCAGGGGTTTGGTGCGAACAATGGACATTCCGTTTAGCAAATTCGCACTCTAACTACTGAACCATCGCGACCCCACCACAACTGGCTAAAATGAAAGGAAATGATGAGTTTTGCGAAAAGGCACTCTTTTTCTAAGGAGACGTTAAAAATTAAGGTAACTGTTTTTCAAAGCATAGAAAACTTGAAAATAATTTTGAGACATTGATTTCTTAAACCAGCTACCCACCCAGCGTCATTTTGATACTTACTCAACAGGAAATCCAGCAAATGAACAACAGCCACGGTTTGAACAGCTAGTCCATCTAAAATGCAGCACCATGATGTATTCTAACTTTATCTTTTTTTGTGTCAGCCAGTGAGGCTGGTGTATGGGATAACCAGTTGAGCACCAAGAGCTACAGTAACCGCCTTATTTTCTCCATTCTCTAGTTTTGCTATCTCCACAAATGCTGACGAACACGGTTCAGAATTCGGAAGTGTTTTATTCTGTACATGTGGGACAAGATCTTGCGTAACTAGTCACAGCCTCCTGATGTGATAATCTCTATGTGTTGTTCTAGCTATCCCGACAGATTATGGAGCGTCACTTCATTCTGACTAAATTGTTCCAAACTATCACAACGCACAGGAAATTAAGTTTTTTTCAAACAGTTACAAATTCTCTAATGCTGCCACATCTTATTGTTATAATACGAAATAGTTATACGGTTCTGTTGAATGTGATATCTGCGCAGCGCAAACGCAACAGATATGTTCCAGTTTCTAGCGCCTACTCAACGTATGCGGCAAATTCGTTCGAGAGAACACGAGCGTCAGTTTTGCGACCTTTTAGAAACGTAAATCCGACAGCGGTTCATTTTCTGATGGTAAAAAAGCTCTTAGTGTCTCACTTGGTGTAGATAAACAGCGCAGTGTGCCCCAAATATCGGAGTCTACGGGTTTTGCTGCAGAGGGTATATTTGACACTGCATGCACCACATGATACCACCTACTGTCGACGAGTATCATAAGGAAGAATAAGCTGACTTGATAAGCTGTACAGTTTATGGGAAATTGTGGGCCACTTATCGTGGAAAATATTATCGGAGTGTAGATGAAATGTGCACTTGTTGGCAGGTGACCTCTACATAGAATAATCGGTACTTATGGTGTAAACAGACACTACGATTCTTTCTCCTTGGTAAACCTGACACTACTCAGACGTTTCAGGAAGAATAAAACGCATCTCCTTCATTCCTAGCCGATAGAAATATCTTACAAAAAAACCGCTTTTTGTCCCCGAGGTTAGACAATTTACACACGGTAGCCTAGGTGTACAGTGAATTAGGACCGCATTTTCAGGTGATTACTTAATGTTCTTCAGAAATACTGAGAAACGATCAAGCAAAGGCTGTCTAGCAGTTTTTTGAACTAATAACTTAATTTAACCAGTTTTCTAAAGCTGTTTTATACAGCTATACGGCTGTTTTTACACAGTGTTGCATGATGTTAATTTGGTCTGAAAGTTTGATGAAACTCTTCAAAATAGGAAACCTTATAGATTTCCAATAAATTTGTGTACTTCCAAATTTAAAGCACATCTTAGACTGTGGTCCATAAAAGGGATAAGAGTGGACAAAAAGTTTCACTTCCATGGTATAAAAGACTCGTGAAAACGGAGCTAAAATAACAAAAGTTTTACCTGAGCATACAGGTTTTATTTTGCACATTCACTGAAAAAAATCTGTCGTGTTATGGGTCTCTCCATGGCATGCGACTTCGCTGGTGTGCCCACGTCTACGCTATTACTTAACGTGAACCGATGGTGTTTTGAGTATCAAACGTAAGCACTGTGAGATACAGTAATTTTATCATTCTTTTGTGTTTTAGTGTCACAGAAAGCTTTAGTTTGATTCCAGTGGCTTATAGCTATCCTCGAAGTAAGTAGCTTGTAGGTTCTCATTCGGAATGCTTGCGATTTACAAAGTCCTTTAAAATCTGGACAGAAGTTATTTCCTCGTCTTGAATAATGATTATTAGGGATTCACAATGATAAATAGTCCAATCTGAAGGTGTATGCATTTCAGAATAATAACCTATGTTATCTAATTGCTCTGTGCGTCGCCTAGTATAAGCGATATACCAGGTAACTCCATGGTATAAAAATTATCTACAGCCGATGATAACACAGAAAATTTCCCATATTGGTTAATAGTTCGGGAACCATTGCAGCCATTGATACATCAAATTTTGCTAATTTGGCCGAGGCAAGCTGCCTGTAATGTGTAAAATCCCACCTATCCACGACATTTTCATTCGCGAAGGAGATTTCCTGAAAGCATGTTGTTTCAACTTTGGAGGAAATAACTTTAGCCGAATCAAAGGTGTGGTTCTAGGCGCATGTAAGAAAGGCCTTTTGAAGGTCTACCGTCGTCATCATCATCCCGCCATCCTGGAAGGTGAGTAGCACCGACCGCAGCCAAGCGTTTCGTGATTTCTTTCATACTCTTCTGCCAAGTCATGGATTGGCCACCTCTCTGCTCTGTGGATTTGGCATGGAAGACAGCACTTTCTTCGGCAAACGATGGTTCCTCATACGCAAAACATGTCCCAGCCAACTCAGCTTCTGGTGCTGGACACAGCCCTCAATGGAAGTATCCGTTGTACAACCGAAAACGTGCTTTCTAATTGCCTAATCACTGATTCGCCGACACGAACCCATACGAGCTATGGTTCTGAGATAACGGTTGTCGGACACTTGAAGACGTCTGAGTTCCGCTGCTCAAATAGGCCAAGTTTCACAGCCCGTACTGTAGCTTGATACGCACGTCCATTCAGACTCAGCGATAAACCACTCTGACGCCTGAGCCTTGCAGTTTCGTGCCTTATCTTTCACATTACATCAGAACTAGTACAACGTCCAAGATATGTAGAACGCTCCACAACTACTAGTGCCTCTCCCTGGATTGTAAGTGGCATGGTAAGTGACTGCACGTCCACGAGCATGACCTTAAACTTTGTGGGTCCAAAGTGCATACCAAAGGACGGGATAGCTTTGGCCAGTTCATCCGAAAACACCTCGACCTTCTCCTCCTTTTCGAAGATGAGAAAGATGTCATCTGTATACTCCAGATCGACGAGGTTTTCTCCTCAGGCCATCTAAACACCAGGGTTTTGGAGACTATCCAGAGTTCGGATCATTATTTCATCGATCACAAAGCTAAAAGGAAATGGAGAGTGTGAGCATCCCTGACGGACACCGCTTTTTAAAGGAAGCTTTTGGTAAGCTCTTCGTACATTCTCACACGTCCGGAAGTCTGTGTCTACAAAATTCCGGGGCATTCCTTGGTGGGCAGGAGTCTCAAGAGGAGCAGACAGATCAACCGAGTCGAATGTGCATCGGAAATTCAGTAGCACTAGAATTGCGAGTCACGGAAACTGAAAAATGGACTTCTCGGAAATTGCATCAGTAACAAGTGTTCACTGCCCTCTCACAACGCGACTTTATACAGCAGTAAACAGATCCTGTACTTTCCGGGGGAAAACAGCTTTCAAGCCGCGGCTATATTGGATATTATATTAATCACCAGGTCCACGATCTGCAAGCATAACCCATCAATGGTAGTTCACCTCTTTGGATAAGTTCAATGAACGGTTGTTTGATAAAACCCGCGAAATCAGGATAGCAGCAAAAATATGGGTCAGTGATACCACACCTTCAGATGTTTGCATGCAACTATTAAGAGACGTTTCACCAACATCCAGCCAAGCTAGTGCTTGGCAGAACTAGGTTCTCATTAATTACTGTTCCAGTGGGCAGTGAAACCGACTTACAAGGTCTAAAGTACTTGTTTGCTTCAAATAAGTAGAACTAACAATAAAGATACTAGATATCACGGAAACGAGTAGAAGGTACAATGTTACACCCAAATATTCACCACTCAACTGTTTTGGTGGCATTTTCACAAATATCCTACGTAAAAACAGTAAGCAGACTCGGTGCTTCAAAACTGTATAGGCTGACGTAGATCTGCAAGAAATTTATTTGTCCCAAATGCTTACTGCCGTAAAGAAAAGCAAAAGGTTTTGATGACGGTTGTTTGTCTTCACAGAACATACAAACTTTGCACACGCCGGGAGAATTTTACTGACAAGAGTAGCTCCGTTGTGAACATGCACTAAAGAAATACACCTATTCTTAACGCACTGTAGCAGTGTGTGTTTATCCTACTAACCCTTCCTGAAACTGACGTTGTTCGCCTTCTGTCTTTGTAGCCTGTCTCCTAAATACCTTATAAACAAGCGTCTAAGCCTAATAAAGTTCACTTGATCCAGCTGTTTGCTTTCTGAGCTTCCAATTAGTTTTGGCACTTTGATTTTCATCCGCCTTTAAAGATGACTAACAAACTTTATAATTGGGAGCACTGCATAAAAACAATGTACGCAGTAGCTTTGAAGGTGAGAGCATTCATTTTCCCTACCTACGAATACTTAATGGCGTCTTTTGGAGGAGATTTCGTTGTTTTTACACTCCAAGTAGAATAACTACATTTTATTGGAAAAACACTGGCTTAATTTTGCACCAGTCGTGAAACACAAGATGGTGATCTATTTTGATAAACGTAATATGTTGACATCAACTGAGGAAAGTGTACTGGATCGAATGAGACTACCTGAAAATGCACACACCGCGTTCCAAACACCGGTTTCGGATCGATTTTCTAAATATATTTATGGCAGAAATTTACCTAAGATGCCGGATGTTTTCATAGGTTTTTGCTGTCAGAGGTGTTTGGCAAGGATTCCTCTCTTATTTCAATTGTTTAATTTTAGCTGCACCAATTATTGACACCATTATGAATTGGTGCGCATCTGAAATCCCATGGAATTATCCAACACTCGACCT